ATATTTGGCCGAGATACAACTATTTGAAAATCTGGAATCTGAGGGTGCAAAAAAAATCTAAATATTGAGGAAATCGCCTTTAAAGTTGCAATGCATATTACTAATCAAAAATTAAGTTTTGATATATTTACAGTAGGAAATTTACTAAATATCTTCATGGAACATGATCTTTACTTAATATCCTAATGATTTCTGGCATACAAGAAAAATCATTTTGATGTATTTTTGGCTATTGCTACAAATATACCCCAGCGACTTAACACTGCTTTTGTGCTCCAAAGTGTGATGTTTCAAATACAATACAAAACAAAACACATATTATGCAAAAGTTTTTGTCTAAAGGTTCAATAAACTGTTCCATTTCGAATCATATCATTTCATACGTCAGGCGTTACAAGGTTAAAAAGACAAGACAGACCTTATTTTCTTTGTATCTGCTGAGGTCAGCGATACAGTACTCCTTGAAGAGCTTATCGTAGTATTTCTTTGCGAGCTCTTTCTCCCTGAACATTTCAGAAGCTTTATCTTAAGGTGACTGTGCAGAGGTCAAGAACAATATTCAAGATTAAAATGAACCCCAAACAGAGAAAAGCGGACATTACCATGTCATATCCTCCTCATCCTCCTCTCTCCACAGGAAACGGTGGTTCTCTCTCACCACATCCAGATCTGTCTTATCTTTAGACCTGCAGATGGAAACACACAGCTCCAATCAGCATCTATCAAAGCAGCTAACCTGAAATGGAATTAAAGCTGAAGTGTGTAAATTCTGCACCAGTTACCTGAACACATCATGTGTTTAATTTGCACACAAATATAATGATTGATAGTATTTCTACAGAAGCCAGACAAAGTAAACTGCTCACATGGATCGCCTGAAGTCCTCAATCTTTCCTCCATAGTACAGAATGTAATCGCTGACAAACTTCTTATGACGCTCAAACTTACAAAATGCTGTTAAGGATGTTTTACCACTCAAACGAAATGACGAGGAAAAGATTATTAAAACTACTGGGCAAACTTCACTAAAAATGCACTTTCAACACTCTATGTATTTTAAACTCAATACAAATTGTGACCCTGGACCACAAAACCAGTCATAAGAGTCCATTTTTTTTAATAAATAAGCTTTCCATTGATGTATGGTTTGTTAGGATAGGACAATATTTGGCCGAGATACAACTATTTGAAAATCTGGAATCTGAGGGTGCACAAAAATCTAAATATTGAGAAAATCACCTTTAAAGTTGTCCAAATGAAGTTCTTAGCCATGCATATTACTTATCAAAAATTAAGTTTTAATATATTTACAGTAGGAAATTTACAAAATATCTTCATGGAACATGATCTTTACTTAATATCCTAATGATTTTTGGCATAAAAGAAAAATCTATAATTTTGACCCATACAATGTATTTTTGGCTATTGCTACAAATATACCCCAGCGACTTAAGACTGCTTTTGTGCTCCAGGGTCACAATTAAATAGTCTCATTCAGTCTCTAGAGTTGGAAACATAGAATGCAAAATGAACTGTAAAGAAATAGAAAGCCATTTAAAAACTGCCACTGTCACAACATGTGTTGAAAATAGCCATTGACAGGATACAGCGTTCATTGATATCAGGTGTTGCCGTCGGTTTCTGGCTTCCTCTCTGTCAGGAAAAAATCAACACTGATTTCAGTACACACACATACTGGACTTTATGGACTATTTTGCTATTTTTGATGGATGTGACCTGTACCTGTCCCATTCATGGGCAGCAACATTTTTATGGGCCACTTTGGTGTGTTTTCCTTTCTGGAATGGCTTCTGTAACAGCTCGTCTTTACCTTCCCTAAAACCAAACACACACAAGACGACCAGCACTTAAAGTGAAAGCGCCGACAATTAGTGCTAATTGCATTCTTTCTAATGATATGCGGTTATTTTGCATTCAAATTCGTTTTACAGATATTCAAAAATCCTTCCTTTTCCTCATTAAATACCCCTTAAAACTTAAAGGAATAGTTCACCCAAATGAAAATTTGCTGGAAATGTACTCACCCTCAGGCCATGCAAGATATGAACAGATTTGTAGAAATTGAACATTACATCACTTTCACCAAAGGATGCTCTGCAGTGAATGGGTGCCGTCAGAATGAGAGTCCAAACAGCTGATAAAAACATCATGATAATCCACAAGCAATCCACACCACTCCAGTCTATTTATTAACATCTTGTGAAGCAAAAAGTTGCATGATTGCAATAAACAAATTCATAATTAAGATTTTTTTACTTAAACTGTCTCTTCTGGCTAACATTTCCGAGTCCATAATCCATAATAGCGCTTCCTCCCGTGAAAAAGTCCATCCCCTGTTGTCCTCTCATATCAAAATCTAACAACACATTTGTTTTGTGTTGAACTCTTTTCGCTTGCAAACGGTGTTTGATCTGTGCATATTTCTCTCCTGATTCAAACGAGAGGACTTTTTGTCCACTGGATAAAGCAATATTATGGATAGAGGACTGTATGAAGTTAAAAATGTCTTAATGATGGATTTGTTACTTAAAAACATGCAGCTTTTCACTTCACAAGACAACTGATGGACTGGAGTGGTGTGGATTATTGTAATGTTTTTATCAGCTGTTTGGACTCTCATTCTGACGGCACCCATTCACTGCAAGTGATGGAATGCTACATTTCTCCAAATCTGATGAAGAAACAAACTCATCTACATCTTGGATGGCCTGAGGGTGAGTAAATGTTCAGCATTCAGCAAATACATTTTTAACTATTCCTTTAATGTAGCAAGGTACTACATGGACTACATATTTGAAAATATGGTATTACCATGGTCCCCAAAAATATGACACCAAAAACCATGGTATGTTTTGTTAAAGATATAAAACAAACTCTCACCTATTCTCACCATATTTGGACTGCCCTCCTCCAACACCACCATCATCATCACTGAAATCTGAGTCATACCCTCCTCCTCCATGGACCTAAAACAGAACACAACGCAGCATTATCTTATTTCACATTTCTTTAAAGCCTTCCTGTTCTTGCTTATATTGTTCTAAATGATGTCTGAAACTTTGTACTGTGAGCACTTCTTGCATATGTAAAATGATACTTTTTAGCAAGAAAAAGGCCTTTTAGAATCGTTGTAAAAACGTCCACCTTCAGTTTATGATATACATGTCTTTTTGTTGTGACATCTTGATAAACATAAGAACAAATTCTATTTTCAGCTTAGGTTTACTTAATTATCCTTACATCATTTTTTTTTTTAGAAAAGTCATATTAAAATGTAAATATCAAATATGATACAACAGGCCTTTGAGGAATGTTTATTTGTTCATCTCTCGGATTGCATTATATGTTTGCCCCCACAATAAAATCATTTGTTTGATCATAAAACAAAGCATAAAATATGATCTTATTTAAACATATTACTGGGAAAAATAGAGTGACAACTGATATTTATATGGATTTTATTCAAGTTGCCTGCTATACTGTTATAAAGATCTCATTGATTTACATTACAAGCTATCAGAATTGCATCTTACTTTTATATAAACATCAGCAAATGCATTTTTCCTCAGGTGGAGCACCATATTCTCACTATATCATACTATATGAGAAATAAAATGTAAATATCATGCAACACATATGTCAGGCTTTACAGTGTTAACTGACAAGAGCACAAGCAAATCTGTTCTGGGATTAATACCGTGAAAAATAACGCGCCATGGATGATCGATGTGCGATCTGAGACAAAAAATAAAGTATACTTTCAAGTCATGCGTGGCAAGCGGTCGCAGCATTACAACGCAAACAGTTCAATCAAATCTCCCGTGCATGACTTGTGATTCATAACTACCTTCACAAGGTCTAGAGCAGTTTTATCCACGCCGCTCATCTGTGTTTGTATGCAGCTGAATCTAAAAGACGGGCGCGCAGTGATGACGTATGCACCACGTGACCAAAACAAAGGCAGTCGCGTTCTCCAAACGCACTTGGGTCTTGTGCTCAGTGTTGCCACGTCCGCGGTTTTCCCGGGTTGTTTTTCATGTCCGCGGGTTAAAGCGAGCCCGACAACGTGATATTTAGCCCCTGGAGTGTAGATTTTACCAGGGAGAATCCGCCAAAACGTGTTTTTTAACCCCCGGAACGCGATTTCTTTTCGAAATGCGATTCGGCTAGTTTTGAGTAGCAATTAGGAGGGTTTTGTTGTGAAAACCTGGCAACCCTGGTCACTCTTATTGACAGAGTAATATGATTTACGATTAGCCGTGTCGGAAATCCAACCACGGATTGGCATGTTGTTATCCCAGAAACAGGCTCAGCCATCACATTGAATCAGGTAAACTGGTTATATATTTATGTTTCAGTATAATTACGCACGCTATACCAGGGGCGGTTCTAAACCCTTTTTAGGTGGGTTCCCCCCATCTGTCACCTTAGCCCCCCAAAACTATCTTAACGGTCAGGCAAGTGCTGCTTCCTTGAGGAAGTTTTTCATTCTCACGTGTTTTAAGTCTTGTCAGTTTAAACATTAAACTGGGTCTTGGATGTTGGGGGGAGCGCGAGTGAAATTAGACCAACTTGGGGGGGCGCATGTCCTAAAAGGTTAAAAACCCCTGCACTAGGCTACAACCAAGTATTGAGTACATGTACAGTAAATGAACATACTTTCCAGAAGGCCAACAATTCACTAAAAATGTTTTTTATTGGTCTTATGAAGTATTCTAATTTGTTGAGATAGTGAATTGGTGGGTTTCTGTGTGCATTGAATTTATTTAATACACAAGTTTTTGGAACTTTTCCATGACATTCTAATTTATTGAGATGCACCCGTATATGTTATGTATAAGTGTACAAATTCTACGCAGCTAGCATCAAGACACTAACTTTACCAAATTATTCCTCTAGTTACGATTATATCTGAATTGTACCACATTAAATGTTTAATCCCAAGATCAAGATTTCATAAACAGCCAAATTTCCTGTTCTTCTTTAAAACAGGTTTTTGTTTCTGGCACCTGCATCAGTCCCTTATGAAAATTAACCATGGTTTTACTACAGATAAAACCAGTATATACGGTTACTAGATTAAACAATGGTAACCACAAATTAACCATGTTTTGGCACTCTAACCATAGTTTAACCATTGTATTTGTAGTAAAACTGTGGTTATACAAATGGTAGTCAATATGCCAAAAAAAAATTTTTTTGTTTGTTACTACACTTTTACTATAGTAAAACCATAGTTAATTTTTGTAAGGGGTGGATTTAAAAGTTGTAATTGCGAGATATAAAGTCATTTTGGAAGACATTAAGCTGCAGTTATGCTACATAAAGTATGTCAGTTACGTGAAGTCACAATTTAAAGATAAAAAGTCATGTTGCGAGAAATAACATCATATTGTGGAAAAAATATTATACAAAATGTGTGTGCGTTGCATTGTTGTGCTTTTTGCAGAATCACATTGTTAGCTTAGCAACATGCTAACATCAAACTCAAGTTGCATATCTTGTGTTTATTTGTGTGCCACTTCAGTGCTAAATTTTAAAAAACTTTGAACATATACTACGCATAAAACAACTTAGCCTAAAGCTAAAGTGTACTGTTCGTAGGCTAACCGAACTAATCCTCCAGGTACAACTGTGTCTTTACCACAAATATTTTTTTAAAAACCTTACCAATTTAGATGTTAAATCCCACAGATAAGATCAAGATTTCAGAAACACCCATATTTCCTGTTCTTGTTTAAAACCATCTTGTGTTTCTGGCACCTTCATCAGTGGATTTAGTTGCTTCCTAACACATCCAATACCTCCTGTCCACTTTCCAGCCAATTAGGTAGCAGGACACATCCGCGTACATCTGACAGGGCCTGTCAAACAGATAAGATCTTCCTTCACCAGAATTAAGGCAAGGTGAAAGGCCAATCCCTTATGGCCATCTTACAGCGATTAACATCAAGATAATTATTAGTTGTGTGACTCTGGCAAATGAGGCCAGCGTGACTGGAGCCCTGAGGTTCCGATTTTTTTACAGCCAGTACAGACTTCAGCAACGCATATGAAACATTATCACAATTTTACTCTTGTTTCTTATATACTATTTTGACATGACAAGAATCTTGGACTAAAACTGCACATACAAGTGTAGACAGCAGATAAGTGTTACAGCTGTCACACGGCATGACATCTAATGTCAGTCTTCTGAAATTTTACAGATAAATCCCTTGTTTAACGTTGTCTGTCTGTGTGTTTCGCATGACGGGTTTCAAGTGTTAGATTTACATTGTCAACACCTTATCAGTCATCTTTAACAGAGCTTTCTGCTCAGTATATTTTAAGGCCTTCAGTTCATGTGAAAATGACATGAGGGGATCCCAGAATGCATTGCATTAACTCGAAAAGTGATAGTTAATCAAATTGATGAACAAAAATATTTTAATGTAATTAAAAACGGTTTTACCCAATATTTGTGTATTTTGGGGCTTCATAGAGTGTCACATTGTAAGCACTGTGCTAATGTCACTCTATTAGAATTAGTTGCGTGTTGAGTCTCTCTTCAGGGAGGATTGCTGTATCCCATAATAATAATATTTTAAAGATTCAGTTTAAAATAAGTTCTAAATGCTGGCTTGCTTATTTTTCTCAATAGTATTATTCAAGCCCACAACTTACTAATCAAGAGCTGTCGTTTCAACCACAGAAGCTTGCGATGCTGTTGGCGAATATTTGTTGGAACTTTTGTTTTAGGAAACGGATTGTTGGCAATGACGAAACTTGCAACAATAGTTGGCTAGCAATACTTATGGAAAACTTCACACCCCAGGAATGCTCAAACATAAAACAAATTTAAAGTAGAAAATGTAAATTATGCGCAAAATTATAATAAAGCACATTTTCCATTCCAGTCACTGCCTGGGAAACTGGCACAAAATACCAGTAATAATAATAGAAGTTGCTGTTGCTTTTATCCTACGTAATATACAGTGTTGGGAAGGTTACTTTTGAAATGTAATAGATTACAGATTTCAAGTTACCCTATTCAAAATGTAATACGTAGTGTAAGTATTTTGATTACTTTATTAAAGTAATGTAACTGATTACATTTGATTACTTTTAGAATACTTTTCTAAATTTCTAATGACTGTTTTCAACTGTTAATCATTTTCAAACATTTAAACCAGGCAGGGTTAACCTTACAGTAGCACTCAACACTGATTACTGTCAGACTCTCAAAATCCTTTGTCACTTTAAGATTATAAGAGTTTAATTTTAAAGCTCAGCCTCCACAAAATCAGACTTTAGCACCTCTTTTTACTTCGAGATCGTTCTGAGGTTAGATACTGATTTAAAATCATAACAAGATATCGTTTAATAGCTATGATACTGTTTTGTTGTTGTCCTAAACTCCTGAATCATTGGTGTCAATGCAAGAGCAGTCAATGCAATTTGGGAAATAAATCAATTAAATCTCTCTCTCTCTCTCTTTGTGTGTGTGTGTGTGAGTGACGAATGACTAACTTTTGATTGACTCTGCCTATCAAACTGGGATATGAGAGAGTGTTTAAATATCCAAAAAAGCCAGGCGCATCAGCTTTATTCCTGAGAATGATCATACAGTCATGCAATCATCCCACATGCATCAAGTAGCATCTTGTCATTAGATTGGCTTTCCGAACCTCCATCCAGTGAGGTGGTTCTTAGATCGAAGCGATTGCATATGCAAACACATTCCGGTTGCCAAAGCCTGTGATAAAAGACTAGGAGTTAGTGGGTGTTCTCTTGTTTAGTCCTGGTCTGTTGATAAAGCTAGTGTAGTCGACTGGCTCGACCAGTTGCTCCACAGTCTGCAGCGCTGCCCTCCATGAGGGTGTTTGCAAGAGCCGGGGAAAACATCCGATGGCTCACAAAACAGCAGCTGAAGATAAGGGACGGTTAGTGTGTGTGCGTCTGCAGAGGGACAGATTCAGCTGCCTGCATCATAAAGCATAAAAGGAACCAGAGGAAATCCCTGTCTATGTTTTGACCTCAATTAAGCATTCGATAAGTGATGTAGAAGGAATTTAGAAGAGCTCGGCTGCATTCTTCTGGGAGGCAACATGCTGGAAAGCCACAGAAAGTTTGCTATGTGCCCACACAGCAGTCCTGGGGTGTTACCTTTCCAGTCAACCATGTCCACCACCCACAGGTGTATGTGTGTGTGTGTGTGTGCACGCCTGGACAGACGTGGTCTCAGACGGCAGGTGAGGGGAGAACACACATGCAGACGTGTGTTTCTGCTGCGGGGGAGCAGATACCTGCACCTTTTGACCCCAGACACATTACAAAGAACGCTGTTAGCTAATGCATTTCTCATTACCTCATATTTGAAGGTTTACTTAAAGGAATGTTCCGGGTTCAAGACGAGTTAAAGGGACGTAATTTGTGGCATAATGTCAGTTAGCATGGACAATAACTATGAAAGTCTATGTGGCATGCCTTCAAAAGGGTTTAAAAGCATACATATAAAACTCATAATTGTTTGTGAATTAGAGAGTGGAAAACATTTTTGACTATATTTGTGGTGGATTAGTTTATATACATCAATGTAATAATAATTAATAAATCAGCTAATCGCTTTTCGGACTTTTTTTAGAATTGTGAGAGATTATCTCAGAATCAGTACTTATTTTCCCGCAATTCGGTGAAAAAATTGACATTTTATCTCACAATTCAGACTTTTTTTCTCACAATTGCGTGTTTATGTCACAGTTTCTACTTTTCCTCTTCTATCTTGCAATTCTGAATCGCGAGAAAAACAGATTGAATTTGAGATAAAAAATTAAAAAACAATTGCGAGAAAAATATCTGAATTGTGAGATAAAAAGTCAAAATTTTCTCTACAAAAAAAAAAACAGAATTGGAAGATGTAACCTCTAAATTCTGAGAAAAAAGTCAGAATTGTGAGAAAAAAGTCTGAATTCTG